ATTTCATCACATAAACATACTTGCTAAACTTAAAATTCTGTTTAGTATTGATTACTCATGTGCACATGTACATATGCCTTGAAGTCATCTGTTGACTTATGGCAATCCCATGAATTTCATAGCTTTTGCCAGTTCCTTCCTCTGAAATATAGACAACAGCACCTGATATTGATAGGTGGTCTCCCATCCAAGTAATAGCCAAAGCTGACTCTGCTTAGCATGACAATATTTTGGTACTTCTTCTGTGGGTTGCTGGATCCTCAAAGTGACATGTTCTTGTGCATCTATTAAATTCCTTTACATTTCTAACTAAGGAACAGTGAAACCCCAAACTTACTCCTTTCCATCCTAGAGATCAATATGACTACAAAATCAGTACCTGCTGGATTACAGTTCACATTTATCTGGCATATATGTCCAATTAAATTCAATAGGTTTGCCCTCAGAGGAAAGAGCTATACAATTGGGCTACATGAGCTATTCTTAGGCCACAAGGAATACAGCAGTTAGGTGACTGGAAAAGTTGGTTTTGGGAGCAGGAAAGGGCAGGGCAGGGCAGAATTTTAGTGACCAGGGGACTTACAGAAATTTCCATTGTCTCCTCCAAACCTTCAGAATTGCTGGAGAAATGGACTGACCGCTTTTTTTCAGAAATAATTCTGCCATTAATGGCTGCTCAGTAATAACTGTTCAGAGGAGGACTCTATACTTGACAAAAGTTCTGTTATCGTAATAGCAAGTCTTTGAATGGAATAGCACTGGTTTTTGGTAGAGGATGTTCTGCTATGGGTCAGAATTTTAGAAATACTCTAATATGGCTTAACCTAGTCTTGCATCATTTTCTCAAAGAACAGCCTCCTAATTATTCAATAAGTTTCAATGCTCAACTCACTTGATACCAGAGGTCAATAACAGGAGCTATTATTCAAACCCAATTGTCAAACGCCTCCTCTTGCTGCAAACAAGAAGCTTGACAAGATCGGAAATATCATTTAGAAAATTCAATCTCAAATGAAATATGTATTTTCCTCCTTCTGGCACATTGATTTCTTTATTGAATGCAATGAATATCCAATGTGAATCCTTGCTTCTGCCCTAGTAATGCAGATTGGTGGCACTGGGACTACTTTGGAAGTTAATTTCTCTTTTGACTCCCCTGCTTTCTCTGTCTTTCTTCTTTCTCTTTTTTACTATATAGAACAAGCTATCTATATTGGCTCATTTTTATGATCTAGATAAACTGTACCTCCAGAGAAATCTTTACATTGTGCTTCATGAACATTAGCATATGCCATTTATGGGAGGCATTTAAAACATTTATTTTAGCATTGGGGAAAAAGACATTTCTAAGGTCATCCACTAAATCTCCTCAGGTGTCCTCCTTAATATTACTAGGTATATGGGACACTAGCTATACAGTATGGGAAGGTATTTTTTTGTCAACACACCAGTTTTACAATCTGAGATATCTCTTCATAAAGCTAGTGTAGTTTAATAAATGAAAGCCAGCATAGTATAGTGGGCTGAATGTTGGACTAGGACTCTGGGAAACCAGGGTTCAAATTCCCACTCAGCCATGGAAACCACTAGGCAACCTTTTGCTAGTCAGTCTTTCAGTCTAAGAGGAAGGCAATGGCAAACTTTCTCTGAATAAATCTTGCCAAGAAAACCGTTAGTTACACTCACCACAAATCAGAGTTGACTTGAAGGCACATGGCATCAAAGTTTAATGGTTAGAGTGTGGTAATAGAATCAGTAGTGACTGATGGTTCCCAAATCAGTGGGATGGTAAATCTGTACTGGGTTTTAGTTTGAACCTTATTCAGCTGCTCAGCCCATCCTCCAAAAAGCAGCTTGGACAGCTTCTTTAAAGTTCACACTACAGCCCACAGGAGATTCACCATCCCACTGATAAGAGAGCCACCAGCTACTACTGGCCAGAACTAGAAATTACTTGGAAATAGACATTCCTCACCATCCAAGAAAGAGGCTAAAAATGTCAATTGAAGCTTGCCTGCCAGGGCTAGCCCAAGACATGTTAACCATGGAACTGATGTGATATTAATTTAGGGAAACATATTTGCATACAAAGAACATTCCAGAGGAGCCCAGTGGCACCACTGTGGGTTTTAATGGAAGGGGTCTGTAGAGGAAAGCATGATTCAGAAGCCTACTCTTAGATAAGGTTAAAATTTAAATAGGTAAAACAAATCAGCACATGAGAACCAGCATGGTGTAATGGTTTGACAGTTTGACATGGGCTTTACCTGCACAGAAAAATAAAATGAACTCCCTCTTTCCTCTTGGTGGGTAGACCAGACCATGATTGGACTGAACCCCAGTTCTGGCACAAACAATCCAGATGATGCCCAACCAGTTCAACACCACACCTAGGGTAAAACACCCATAGATTGGCTTAAATGAAGTCACTATTTGCCCTCCACTGCAACATGGGCAGCAACATGGGCAGCACTATTTGCCCTCCACTGCAACATGGGCAGCAGACTCACCACCACAGTGATTCATTCAACTCTGAGGTCAGAACAAGGTACTCAGCCACATGATTGATGCTGGGCTCCTCTTTCTGACCACAAAGTGAGTGAGTTGCCATGGTGTCTGCCACACCAGGCAGCACAGTGGTACCCATATGCAAACAGCTACCTTGTGTTGCAACAGAAAGGTAACAGCGGATGCCAATGCAGCTCCAGGACCCATGAAGACACCACCTAGGAATCTGGAGGAGGGGGTCTTGGTTTCTTTTCAGCCGTGGAAACCCACTGGATGATCTTGAGTTCACTGGATGACACTGTCTCAGCCTTAGAGGAAGGCAAAGGCAAACCTTTTCTGAATAAATCCTGCCAAGTATGTCCTATGATAGGGCTACCATGAGTTGGATTCAACTTGAAGGGACGATACAACAATAACAACAATAGCGAAGCACATTGGAAGAGCATATGATTTTATTTTTTTAAATTTTTTGTATATATTATACTAACCCGAAGTGAAAATGCTCCTGGGAAATAGTGATGTATGATCTAAAACACACACAGAGAGAATGTCATTTCTTCACTTAATTTTTAAATTATGTAAATGAGGCAGTCACAAACCAACAAGGAAGACAAAAACTAAACATTTAGAAACAGAAGGCTTTGTATCTTTATACATTAAAGTGGAAGATAATAAGACAGCTCTGAGAGATGCATTTTTTAAAAAAAACTCCTACCTATGGTATCTATGATCAAAAGAGTGGAAGAAAATGTTCTGACAGACTGAAATTGGAAAGAGAAGATGGATGAGGTGCTAGTGACAGGGTTGGGTTGTTGGGATATTTTAAACAGTTGCTTACTTCTTTTACAAATGTGCTAGTAATCCATCCAAAAGGCAGGAGTGTGAGCAGACTCCCCAACTGCAGAATATTTAATTCACTATTATTGCTGAATCAAGCAAATTCCAGAGAGGGGGAGAATCAACAGCGGAAATCAGTACTAGAAATTGTTGGTAGTGGTGGTGGTTTAAAAGAACTGCTTGGTTGCACAGTTGTACAGTAACTCATAAAAATGAATGGCAAACAGTTGGGTTTATGGTACAATTGGCAGTTACTTCTTTCCATGTCAATGGGGCCATAACTCAGTTCTTAATTTTAGCCTCAACTATCAAAGGTGCTGAAAGTTTCTCAGAATGGCAGGCAATCTTTCTTTTTTTAAAAAAAAGCTGATTAAATATTTGAAAAAATAATAAGTACCCTCCTTGTTTTTCCCCCCACTGGGCAAAAACAGTGTCCCCTTGTAAAAAATATTGGCTGTCAACTTGTTTAGCAATTGAGAAATTGTAAGCTAGACAAAAGACTGAATAAAGGTGGGTTATTTGGGGGTGGGGTGGGGGGTGTCATCATCATGAGACATAGCCCTGTTATCACAGTTACATTGACCATGTGGGATCTCAACCAATTCATCTTGTATGTCCTTCATTATATTTGATTAATCTCTGAATATTGCCTACTTATCAACATCCTTTTTCAAACTGAAATGTCTAGATATGGCCAGCATTCCTAAAAACACCTTACCATGGATGGTTGAGTTGACATCCCAGATCTTCCAAATAATATATAACTCTTTGGCTATATTCAGATTAGTGTCTACTATTGTCCCAAACAGTTTCTCAGAAATGGTGACAACAATCTCCTGCCTTCAGCTTGTGTGCTCATTTGTTTCTTCCTCATTAGGCTGACCATATGTATAATTTTAAATGGGACATATTTCATATTTCCAGACTGTCCTGTCATTTCAATACAAATGTCAATTTGTCCTGTTTTCAAGAAAAATGCCCTGTTATGTTCTGAAAATGATTTGAAGATCCTTGTTTGAAATTGTGGTTATAAAAATAAAGTCATGGAATGTGAAAAGTTTTATCATAAGGTGTTAAAGGATCAAAATTTGCTGCATAAGAGTGCTTCATTTGAGAAATATTCATAGTATGATTGTGGTGGAATACACTCTCCCTCTATGTCTACCTACATTTTGTATGACTTGTCTCACTGAAGAATAATTCTTAGCTCAGTATGTTCTTGTAATAAAACTTTTGTTATCATCTTACTTTTTCATAAATATGGAATATTGCATAACCCTGTTCCATTTTTGGCATCCAAATGTCCTGCTTTTGTCTCAACGACATATGGTCAGCCTAGTCCTCATGCAACACTTTACATAATTCTCTTTACAAAACTCCCAGGTTCCTTGTCTTCCTAGGTGTTCAGTTGCAGTATTTTTAGACTGGGGTTTATCTCATCTTTGGAATGTCTTGCGATTCTACCTATGCTTTTATCACCTGTGAATTAGATAAATACATTTGCCCCTCTGGTGGTGGTGGTGGTAGTGGTGGTTGTGTGCCTTCAAGTTGTTTCTGACTTATAGTGACCCTAAAGTGAACCTATCATGGGGTTTTCTGGGATTGAGAGTGTGAGGAGACATGCTTAAGGTCACCCAGTGGGTTTTCATGGTCCATGGCCAAGCAGGGAATCGAACCCTGGTCTCCAGAGTTGTAGTTGTCTCTAAAATAAACCACTACACCACACTGGCTCTCCCCTGTATTTGTATCATCTGTGAATTTGATCAATGTAGTACACTCTTCAGCTGTTTACATAAATGTCTCAGCTATGACATCCCACAATCCCTTAGTGCATTGCCATCATAAAAACTGCTATTACAGCAAGCATTATGTGATGTCCTCATGAACAATCTCCAACAGACACACATACACACACTTCTCTTGCTGTACAGTGGGAGAGAGCTGTTTCAAGTTCCTCTCTCACAGATAATGAAATGCAATACATTATGAGTCTGCCATGATATTCAATGCATACCCACTTTTTAAAAAAGCCTATGATGCAGCACGAACAGAGGGACTTTTCTACTTACAGTTCGCATGCCACAAGAAGAAAGATACAGCTGTCTTGGCAATTGCTGCCTGAGGTTTGTATTCATAAGTCATCTGTCAGAATCTAAGACACAGCCATATATATATATATATATAGAGAGAGAGAGAGAGCTATTTTTGTTTGTTCACCCTGAGCTTAAAAAAAGAGAAGATGTTTTTTCTCTGAATTTTAATACACTGGGCATTTTTAATCTGCATAGTGAGAATGCAAGAGAGACCAGGATTGATGCATATGAAGTAAATAAAAGGGTTTGGTTAGCAGGCATGCACAGACCAGATAAGGAATTAATGATCCCAGGAAATATGGCATTGCTCTCATTAAGATTTTGAAACATGTTGTTCATTGCTCTAAAAACTGCAGACATTTGAATGTAATGCCTCACTTTTCTTGTCAAGGGGAAAGTGTGGGTTTATTTGTTAATGAAGCCTAGCTGTCCTCAGGGTGGGCCAGAGAGAGAGAGAATGCCAACTCAGTAGTCTCTGTACCCCATGGCTAGAACATTAATGAGAGAAGAGGGGACAGCACTGTACTGTTGGGGTGGAGGAAGGAGAGAATAGTACTTTGCCTTTGGAAAACTGCATGTGGTTCATCAGAGTGTTCAATGCCTCATTGGTCCCACCTAATGAGAAACACATAGCAACTGTGACAGTTCCTTTGACAGGATGAACTCAGGCTAGTAATGAGATTTTGAGATGTGCCGAATTCTTCTTTAGGATTATATGCTCAGAACAAAAAATGACTACATTTGAAAAACTGCTTGTTTTGAGCTTGTGCTAACTTGGTCAGGTTTCGCACGGTTTAGAATGCTGGTCTGCTGGACACAGGACAGGGCCACATTGGACCTTTCCCCCAAATTCACACTATCCCTACTGATGCATGATGAAATTGGTCACTATTATGTCAAATTTTGGTGATGAGGAAGCAGGAAAACCCTTCATGAATTCATTTCCAAAGGAGACATATAAGAATAGATGTATTATTTTAAAGCCTAATTGTTCAGTTCAGCGGAAAGACTATGGTGCCTGCTATCTACAAACCTTGTTTTGAAGCAAAAATGTGTGTGTGCGCACAAGGGGGGGGGATTGTCACTGTCTTGCAAAGTATGGTGACAAATGTCTTGTTCACTATGGACACAAAATTGTTGTAGGGTCCAGCCAGCCTAGAAGCCAGGAATTGCTAAGATCTGCTGTGGAACAAAGTAATAGAACAATTTAAACAAGGACCACACTGATAAGGGAACATAAGTACAATATTCCTTCAGACCTTGCTGTACTCAACAAGGTTAAGGATAGAGGAGACAGGTGGTGTAGGAAGGAGGGCCAACACTTTGCACATTTTTCAGCTTGGCTTGTAATAATCCCATTTTCTCTGATCTGGACAACTTCATTTCTGCATCTCCCTGTTTCAAATTCTGGTGCTGTGCTTAACTCCAATGTTCCTGAGCAGAGTTTGCAGTAAGCCAACTTTCTCCAGGGAAACTGTAGCTCTAATCTTTCTCACAATTAAGTTGCCTCTTGACTATGCTCAACAAGACACAAGAGATACATGAGTTGAGCTTGCCATCTTTTGTGATGCTGTTTCTCTTCACATTGCTTCTGACTTATGGCAGCCTTAACATGAACCTATCAGAGTTTTCTTGGCAAAATTTGTTCAGAGGAGTTTTTGCCTTTGCCTTCCTCTGAGGCAGAGAGAATGTGACTTGTCCAAGGTTGCCAAGCAGGTTTTCATGGTGGGACAGGGATTCAAACACTGGTCTCCAGAGTTGTAGTCCAATGCTCAAACCATCACACCACACTGGCTATCTCATAACTCTCCATGTTATCACTTTAAAAAATCAGAATGAAATGTAACTGGAGTAATGGTCCTGGAAGCAAGACTTGTTTGTTTGTTTTTTAACTGTCCTGATCTCATTTACTCCGTCAGAATTGCCTCATCCTCACAACTATTTTCCACAATAGGAAATATGGTTGTCATAGAACAACTCTTTCCATAATCATTCTTTGTTTCTTATTTTTAAAAATACTCGAGTAATATACACAGTCCATAAAAAGTGTGGACAGATGGTGGTACTATAATTTCTAAATTACAGGCCCATCCAGAAGGCGTGCAAACAATGGCAGAAAACACGATGTGCCTCTTAACTCCATATGCAACACTGGTGAATCAAGACCTTAGTTTGTATAGGATACATGAAGGCATTTCCCATGGTTCACTCTTTCCACACCAACTGGCCTGGGACTACAACATGCACAATTATTTGCTATACTTATAAAAAGTTAATATTCTATGTATCCTTTTTTATTTGTATGTTCCACTCTTTAAGCTTGCACAGTTTGACACAAAGAAGACTGAATCAAAACCCCAATGCAGAGAATACGTTAAAGCTTCCTAAAATTTCTGCCTCATTAAATAAATTTTACAGTAGCCTGGGACACTTACTTATCAGTTTAAAAAAAAACCAAAGGAAAAAATAAATGGAAAACTCTTGGTATACACTTCTTTTATTAAATATGCAAGATCATCAGAGAGTTAATTAAGAGCTAGTTTTGAATACACTGGATGGACAGTACTGAAAAATTTCTGAGTAGATAAGAAAAAAGCAATCTGCTGAGATTGTAACTGCATAAGATAATAATCAAATGGGCCGTTTTATTACTCCTACTATGCTTTAAAAATACATGCCTGTAATAACCAACATGATGGCTTTCCTTAAGAGTCCAACAAAATGCTACTACACACAGGTCATTCCAATTTGAGGGTAGTCATAAGAAAATGTTAAACTCTTTGTGTAAGGGCCTACACAAATGAAATGGTCTGAGGTTTTAGCTTATAAAATGATATAGACATAAGTGCTTTGGACTGTGTCTGTCTCAAATATTCTCTAAATTCAATATCCATGTACACAACTGGTATATTTGATGAAACTGGTCTTGTTACTATTAATAAACACTCTGTTTCTCTAGTGTTTGATTTCCTTTTGCTTTGTTGATGTTGTCAGGGATGATGGGAGTTGTAGCTCTTCACCTCTGGCTCTA